TTCGGTACTCGTGGGCCCAAAAAGAAAGTACGTGAACGCCAGCGACCACCGCTTCCGGCGTGTCTCTGAGACTGGCCAAGGCGGGCAAAGGGTACGTCCAAGGCTAGGCTTCAGGTGTGGCCCTGGAGCAAGGACTTCGGCTGGGCACAAGACCCAGAGAGCCCAATACCCCTTAATTAAGGAATGTACCTTAAATCATAATATTAAGGTCCCTATAATTTAGGGTATATTCCTTATTTAAGGAATATTGGGCTCTCTGCGAACCGGCCACTCTGCACCCTGAAGCGTTTTCTACCCGAAGCAGCTTTGAGCCCGAGCCCTTGATTGGAGGATCTGCCGTAGACACGGCTCCGGCGCAGCCCATGGCCGTCTCGCGACCAGCCGCCGCATACGCATGGACAGTGTCAGTGCAAGCTTCTGGGGGCTGACATGAGTTTTGGGCTTTGCTTCCTCCTTCGATCCTTGACGTTCGGGGAGGTTAAGCGGAGTGGTTGGGTGTCGGTAAAGCAGTTCAAGAACTCCTGCGGAATGCCGTTCGCCTGGCTATTGCAACGCCAGCACTTTCTCCTCAGCCTAGACTACCCCTGCTGCTTTGTTCCGGCTGCCTTTTTGTATGTATGCATTGCCTTGCGTTGCATTGCATTGCGCTGCGGGTGCTTCATGCCTGGTTTGCACTGTGCGTTGCGTCATGTTGTCCATGCTATCTTATATCATGGTGCTGTGTCATGTATGAATGGTGTTATGTCTGTTTTAAAATGCTTTGTCATGGGGGATTCTGCATTCTTGCAGGCCATTTACGAAAACACATGCATGCATTCGCACAGATCGATGCACATACACTAGGCCAATTCGAGATGCTGTTGCATTATCACGAGCTTGGTTGCACGTGAACACCCTGACTCTAACACCCAATGTGGCAACCGCACGCATTGCTATACTTTTCCTGAAGGGGGCTGAGATGTTTTCGATGCGTGACTCACTCGCTTAAGGCTTGGATTTGGTTGATGAGGTCGCGTGCTCCATGAAAGGACGGTTATATGCTGCCGCACCAACCTGATCGAACGTGCTTGACTGTGAACAACCTGCCGACATTGATTATTGATGAAGCCCGAGATGTCTAGCAGCACCCACGGCCCAGCAGTTGCACAGCTGTTCCAGGATGTTGTCAAATACAATGCAGCCCTCAGCTCGAGTGCCAAAGGCCAGGCTTGGCTTTTGAAGCAGGCATCATGCATCATGCGCTCCTCACAAGGGCCCGAGTTTGAGGCACTTTGGCTTCGAAGGCTACCAGGGCTCCCAGAGACTCCAATATCCCTTAATTGAGGAACATACCTTAAATCATATTAGGGATCCGACTATAATTTAAGGTATAAACCCTAAACCCTAAACCCTAAACCATTCCCTAATTAAGGGATATTGGAGTCTCTAGGCTTGCAGAGCCCCTGGCGTCCCTGCAGGCAGCGCTTGGCCGGAAGCACTGCGACTCTTCGCGGCGCTGCCGGAGGCCAAGCTGCAGGCACCGCCAGGGGGGGGGAGCTTTTTGGGCTTTCGGGCTCGCGGGTCCCAAAAAGGACTCCATGTCTCTGTGTCTAGAAGACACACAAGAGAAGAACCGACGACCAAGCTAGACCCTAAACCGTAAACCCGGGTGAGTCACCCCAGGACCCCCGAACCACGGAACTCTATCAGTTCAGGTGGATTTCCATCCGAATTCCAATCAGGCGACGGAGGTCTCCTACACCGCCGCGCTCACGGCTTGTGCCAGAGGTGGAGCCATGGGTCTCGAACTCCGTTGATTTCGGGCACTTTTGCCCCCCCTCATGCAAGGTAGAGCAGATGCCCTGTTGAGCAGGTGACTGCTGGCAGCAAGCATTGGAACTGCTCGCGGAGGTGGATCACGTGCGGCTGCAGCTTGCTTCAGAAGCCAGTCATGTCTGCATAACGTCCAAGTCTTCGAGCCTGAATGGATCTGCAGGTTTGTGCGACTGGGACAAGAAAAGCCGGAGAGCGCACTTGTGATAGGCGTATCCGCTAGCCGGGCTGCCCTGACAAAGAACCCCTCGGGTTCCTGCAAAGTACTAGAAATCTCAACCCAGCTTTCACAAACCCCCACCTTTCCCGAAATGTAAGGTGCAGTCGACATCAAGACGAAGCAAGACTTGAAGCAAGACATGTCAGGGGACGGGGGTGCGATGCCCAAGGAAATCTTCATTGTTGGGGCCACCGAGCATCATGCAATACTCGGTTCTCATTAGAGACCTTGCAACATCCTTGGCAGTATCGCAAACCATGAACATGGCAAGCCTCCAAATCTCGCGCCTCTAGCAAAATGGCCACAATTCGGTACCCTTGCCGGGAGAGCTAGAGCCTTGATGAGCCCAGGCAGAACAACATCATCACTGTCGGGGCGGCGATGGGAGCTTTGGGCCCCCGGCAGTGGCTGCTGGCACTCTGCCTCCTAGGCGCTGAAAGGGAGCTGCAGCTTTTTCAGTCCAGCAATACGCTTGGAGTTGCGTGCCGGTAGGGGCGGCTAGCCTCGATTTCCAAATGTTGATCAGTCTTTTGTGCCTGTCTTTCGGCTGTTGTAGAGCGCACCTCCCACTGTATCTATGCTGACAGCGGAGCTCCCAGGAAAGACCGCAGGCACTCCTGGCAGGGATCTTGATTTTCATCGGTATAACTGAATGTGACAGTCTCAAGACGTCAAGGAGGCACACTCCACAAGCCCCAAGCCTGATCAAAGCAGAACGATCGTGAAGCCGATTTGCAGCCAGGAGACCTTCCTCAGCGAAACCTCTGCCCGAACGTCGTCGTCGTCAGCGCCGCCATCACTGCGTGTGTAGGACCGGCTTCGTTTGGAGGATGTGACTTGTGTCGCTTTCTCTCTTTCTCCAAAGCGCCTGAGGGCCGAAGCCATTTCTTCAGATGCCCTAGGGTTTTTCCTTGCCCGGATCATCGGATCTGTTCCCATGGGTTCTAGAACCAATCCCCGGTCTGCTTTTCGTCGAAAGGTAGGCAGACTCACTCCGGACAGGACATTGGCTGCAAGCTCTTGCGCAGCTTGCCCTACTGCGAGGGTGCTGTACGCATGAAGTTGGTTCGAGCAAAATGCTGCAGGGATGGCACGGTTCTCCGTCTTGGGGCTTTCTGGACATGCTGGGCAGTCGCCGCAGAGGGTCCGACAAACGGAGACTTTCTCACTGCTAAGTTCCAAACCTCAAGGCAGAAAAAGCTGAAGCTGTAGCCTATCGTCCCCCAAGGCTTCTGCAAGAACTGCACCCTCTTCGCTTGCAGCCCAACGTCTTTTGGCGTGTGATACTTCACCCGGTCTTGTTTCCGACGCCGTTGGATTTCTGATCTTGTGCCACAGGGTTTCAAGGAGGCTGTAGTCCAGAAAGTCGAATGAAGATTACTCAGTGCTTCCATGGGGTGTGGCATCGAGCATTCGCCTAGGGTCCATGCCCAATGCATCTGGTCCTGCCCGACTTCACGGCATAAAGAATTTTCGCAAGCCTGCTCAGGTCATCACCTACAACGCCGCGATTTCCGCTTGCGGAAGCTCTGAACAATGGCGCCTTGGCCAGATGCTGCAGAGAGAACCCTCCCCATGACCCCCATTTGGAGGATCATGGGACTTAGTAAGTAAGGTTATAAGTACCCTAATTGGGGTTATACTTATAGTTACCTTATTTATAACCCTAGTTACTAAGTCCCATGATCCTCCAAGCATGACCTCCAGCATTGAAGCTGCTGGGGTTTCGACGCGCTGTGCCTTCCGTCCTGCAGGCAAGAAGCCCTCCAGCTCCTCTCCGAGCTACTCGTTGCCCCTTTCTCTTGAAGCTGCTGTAGATCTTGAGAGTCAGGTGTCGAAGAACTTCTGGGTGCGTCAACTAGCACTGCGGAGCAGCAATCGAAGTCTCCAGCTCCGAGCTCAAAATGGGAAGCTAATTGGCAAACCGGCAACCGAAAGTTACGGGACGGGATGACAGCTTCTGTGCAAGGCACTGCGATTCGGGTCGCAGAAGACTGAGCCTCCCCTGCCAAGCAAAGGATGAGCTGCGACCCACCGCCGTCACCTACAGCACCTGCATCAGTGCCTGCCAGGCCCTGGGACCACAGTCGAGTCACTTCTTTTCACACAGTAACTACTAGCAGCACCTACCTTTCTTGGCGGCTTCCTGAGAAGCATCGCAGCTCAAGGATATCGTGATGCCGTGATGAAAAGTTGTATGTAGCTCTATTTCTATGGCCTTGCTGGAATTGCAGATATGTTCGTGCAAGAAAATGCTCGTAGTTTGTTGTGCAGCAGGGGGAACGGTGGTTGAGCATTACAAAGGCGCATGGCAATTGGCTACTTCCCTGGGTTCATGATAATTTCTATGCCGATTCTATGCGAGATTGCGGTGGCCAAACTCTGACTCTGATGTACCTATAACCTGTGTGAGATGAGTTGGATAGCTGTTGAGGAGGATGCAGGGTTGTACATGCTTCCTACTGGCACTATCGCTGTACTGTTGTGATGGGTTCCGGCCGTAGGTGCCAAACACTCACGCCGGTCTTGGATGTGAACGTTTGGATGAGTGAGTTCACAGTGTGCGGAAGGCAAAATTGAATAGCTTTTGCCGAAACCAGCCTGGAGTACTCAAGCTCAGACCCTGAATCATGTGCGTTTCAGGGTTTCGGTGCGGGTTGCCCTAGTTGGCATGCACCTCTTTCCGTGCTTGAGTCGTATCGGAAGTTTGCAGGTTTATGTGGGTTTAGCTTTTTGGGGGGTGTGCCCCAGAAGGTACGAATTCGCAGATATTATTTGATACAGTCTGTCTCCGCGTGCCAACCTCGCTCGAAAATAAACTGCACCTTGCCCGCCCCGCCTCCCAAACGTACCAAAAGCCGGATTCGGGACAACGAGATCTGGGGTTGGGAAGACCTGGAAGTTGGCGGGGCCGCCTCCGCCCTTTTCGCAGGGACGATGGCGAGAAGCCCTAGCAATTTTGGGTCTCATGGCGGAAGAGACCCTCGAGGCCGGACGCTACAGTGCCTTTGGGCGTAATTCGGTCTTTGGAGGAATGTCCCATGGGCTTGGAGATGAGTTTTCTTCCAGGATCCTTTTAGGTGCCTGCATGGTTCGGACTTGTGGGTTAAAGTTCTGCTTGCTCGCTGTGCTTTGCGAGTTCCCGCAACATGTATCTGCGAAATGCGTATGTTCACACATAGAAGCCGGCAACAGCTCTGGAACGTGGAGGCTAACATCGTTGCACTTGGAGCTGCCACGGCCGCCCTCGCTCGTGCCGGCGAATGGCAGCGAGCTGCGTACCTCTTGGCAGGTTTCGACGAGGCTGTGTGCACATGATCGGTGGCAACAGTGAACCTACATTCACCAAGCATGCAATGCAATGTATACCGTTTGGTTGCGATTACTTCCACTTAGAATCAAAGTCACGGTTCTGTTCCATCCCAGCAGAAACTCCGACACAGAACAATATGAAACTGGGTTTTGAAGGGCAAGATGCGAAGCTCGCCATGCCTTTCTGTTCATCAGCCGTCTCTTCAACATTGTCGATGCCGTCGAAACTCCAGCAGCAGGTCTGCAGCTGCACAGAGGAAGTGTTGCCTCAATATAGGCTATTGCATAGCCCGTCGCACCTCCTGAAGCTTGCCTGACTCCGCGCCACACAGCCGGATGCAGCACTGCCAAACAATAAACGGTCGCGCAGCGTACGACAACCCTGGAGGTCCACTTGGCTCCCAGTCTCGTGGTCTTCAGTTCCACGATCAAAGCATGCGAGATGGCAGTATGTTGCTTGACAGGAGTCCTTGGCTGGGTTGAGTTTAGCAGTGGTATTCGGTTCCATCATGTGGTGTAAGAGCGCGGCCTTCAATGTAAGGTTGGGTTGCCTTGTTGTGAACCATAGTTTGAGACCTATTGAAGGCGTAAAGGCTGTCCAGGGTTCGGGGTACCAGTGAATAAACCAGGCAAACAGCAAATCCGTACGTACGTGCTCGGAGTCCTGCAGTAATTCTCGTCGCGCAGAGGCCCAGCTTTGTAAACGACGACGAAGTCTAATTAAGATCGCGTTCATTTCGTCGGCCAAGCTGCAAAGATTAGCTTGAGGGTACGCCGTGGGAAGCCCAAGCCCATTCACAGCACCGATGAAGTCGGCTCCCCCTCATAAGCTCCGCCATATGGCAATATGGGTAGTTCTCTAAATTAGGGCCCCTTTTAGGTCCCCAATACAGTACGGCACCCTGATAAAAAGGGACCCTAAGAGGGACCCTAATTTGGAGAACTCTCCACATAGCAACGGAGCCTCATTAACCAGGCCAGGCCGAGGGGCAGAAAAGAAAGGGACTGTACTTCATAATATAAGGGTCCTTAATGTTGCAGTATTATACTATATATCTATGATAAGGAACCCGCAAAAAAGTATTGGTAATGAATTTGTCTACGGCCCCTATAATACTATAGTACCTGGAAGGCTGGCAGCAGGCTCTTGGCCTCTTCAAAGAGCTCTGCCGCCGACGCCTGGAGGCGAGCTTCCCGACTTTTTGAGCTTGGGCTATGCGGCACGGGGGGGTTGATGCAGACACGGCGGGCCCAATCCGAAAGATTCGTCTCAACCGGTAGAGGGTTGCATTGGCCAGGGCGTTGCGCATCTATCCCGCCGTTCGAAGTGCAATACCGCCATAGGTCCAGACATGATCTATAATGTAGGGCCTTAATAATTGGAATAGGGTTTTGGGGGGTCCCTTATTATACTCATAGTGTACTATACCCCCAAACCCTTTTCTAATTATTAAGGCCCCTATTTCCGGGCAGCTAGCAGGGCGTGGCATGGAGGGTATCCAGATTCGGTTGCTCAAAGGCTGACAGCATCGCCTACAGCACGACCCTGCGGCTCGTCTCGAAGCCAGCGTTGACGGCTTCGGGTTTTCCGGTGTAGGTCATGATATGATGATACCACGATGTGCCCATTCTTTGATGTTGTGGGATCTCCCTCCCCTCCCGAGGGCCCCTCACTTGAGAGGTCTCTCCATCACTCCATTGTCCCCGTCGATCGTCAGAGTATCTTATCACAGCTTGCTCTCTCGATTTTTTGACATGGCCCTCATTGGCCCAAGCAGAAGCACACCGTAAGCCTTTGCTTGAAGTCTGTGCTGCGCTCTGGCTCGGAAAGGGGGACAACCTGGGGACTGGGATGACGTGAGTCGCGGGAGAGGGTCAAACGCGCTGCAGCCGAAGCTTGCCGAAGCCATAAAACTTCGCGTCTAAACATCCATGCTCCGTTGCTGAGGCACATCGTCACCGCCGGAGACTGGCCCCATGCGCAGGCTGTGCAATTGGGTGCACCGAAGGGTTTCGGCACCATGGTTGCTCCTGTTCATCTCAAGGTTGAATTTCTATGCTTTGCAAGATATCCCGCAAAGGGATTCTTGAAAGTCCTTAGCCTAAATAGCTTGAAGAAGCACCAAGTGACCGAAGCCTGACGCAGCATATGGGCCGTCGCTGCATGCCAGACATCCCTAAGTCTTCCTTCGACACCAGGCACTGCTGGCAGAGTGGCCTCCTGAGGCAGGTGTGAATCGGCCTGTGGGGTCTTGCTACAGAACTTACTTGGCCCACGGGCCCTACATGATGCAGCGCAGTGCATGAAGCTGCAAACGCTTCCATGCCTAACATTAACATTGGTAATGTAGAAGCCTCAACAACTGCCAATATTGACGTTAATGGGATTCCTTGATTATAATAATACGGAAAACAGAGCCCAAACAGTATTCTGATTACTACGGCCTCTACAATGCTCCGTTTCTCGGATCCGAAGAGCTCTTGTCGTCAAAGCTGGCAGGCTGTCGGCTGCAGAGTCGCTCTTGGAGCGGGAGAGAGGCATACGGTTGGTTTAAAGCTTTCTTCCATGGGGTCTATGGCTAGCAGGAAGCGCTAAAGAGCTGCAAGTGCCACCAAAGTTTGCACTGCAGAGTCAGTGATCTGTGTTTGAGGGTCGTGTGACATGGAAGCCGAAGCGTGCTGTTGCCTGATGCATCGGAAGTCTGAGCAGCAGACGAACTGTTCGCACTGGTATTCATGTCGCGTGCGTAGGTTCTGATCCGGGTCGCAGTTGCCAAGTGTCCCTGGTAGACCGGCCTGCTGATCGAGCGGTACCACCATTTGAATGTGGCAGCAAGCTGTAGACTCTGGTTGGGGTGCATGAAAAAGCAAACAGCAGCACCCTTGCTTGGTGTTGCTCTTCTGATTCTTCCTGCTCGTAATGCATGTGGTTCGTGGCTTGTGTTTCGCTTGGTGCTGGCACTTCTGGCACTTGTAGCTCGGAGTGCCTTTCAGGGCCCAAGTTGAGGCTGCCACGAAGATGTGACTCCGCGTGGAGTACCCAGAGAGCCCCAATACCCCCTAATTAAGGAATAATACCTTAAATCATAATATTAAGGCCCCTATAATTCAAGGTATCTTCCTTATTTAAGGGGTAGGAGTCCCGTTCTTTTGCCGTTCTTCGCTCCAGGAGCAGACTCTGGCCAGCTGCTTTGGCCCTGTCTGGCGATGTCGCGGCTTTTCACACAGCGAGCCGTGCCTGCACCTTGCCCGGAAGATGAAGTCCTTGAGCTCAGACATGAAGAGGAGGGGGGAAGAGAACAAGTATTCCGTCGTATGTGTGCCGCTTTCGGGCCTGGTTTGTTCGTCCGGCAGCCGTGGCTAGAGCTAGAGAGCCTTCCTGTGAGCGTTTCTTTCGCGGGCGCTCTGCATGTCGAGAGCCAATCAGACTTTCAAGCCTGAGGGTTGGGTTTCCGGAGTGAATGGCTGAAGCCAGGGCGGTCACTGCGATCAAAGAGGGGCAAGGATTAAGCCTGCAGTCCACTCCGGTGTAAACCATCAGGTTCAAAGTTTCGATGCCAATCTGTGAGGATACCGTGTTTGGTTTGAAGGGCAAGATGTAGGTGCAAGAATGCGCTGACAAAACACGAAGCAACAGCAACATCAAAACGGATGCGAGCCTCAAGCCCGCACAAGTCGTGCAAGGCTTGCACAACGAATGGTTCAATGGCGTTAAGTTATTGCTGTTTATGAAATGAGAGGGTGCAACGCTCAGGGGACGGTCCGTTCCCATTTGTTCTGTTTCATTTGGAAACCCTTCGCCGCAGACCCGGCAGTAGCAACAGGCCAAAATGCATGGAAAGTCGGGAACGACGTCGATCCTGTGCCACCAGCATCGTAATGACACTTGCCAGATGGCTCAGACCACATGCTGGTCCGCCTCAAATCTCACTTTCGCGTGCTTGAGGCCGCGATGGAAAGCAGTGGAGTGCCGCCTTGGGAGTCCTGGTTCGCATCCCTGAGGCTTGGACGGTCTTTGATTCAAGGATAGGCGTCGGGTGCAGGATGAGGGGGATTGGGACGGCGCAAGGGTGGGAGGCTGAAGACCCACTCTGAAATCCATCTCTCCAAAGCTTGGTTTGTGAGAGTTTCTGAAAGCGGAGGATGGCTCCGGGTTGAGAGTCCGCATCACAGGGCTGTAGCTGCTCTGTAGGAAGCTAAATGCTTACCACTGAGAAAACTACCCCTACCCTTACATAGAGAACAGTGGGATACCACGCAAGTCTCATCTGTGGCTTGAGATGGTATGCAAGCGAGTTCGGAGGCGTTGGTTCAAGCCTCCGCCAGAGATTTGATTGAGTGCAGTGAGCCTTCTTGTCACTGCAACTGTCATGACACCCGAAGTCGGAACCCAAAAGTTTGCGAGGTGGCCTTGCAGCCGACGGTGATCAGCCTGAACTCCGCCCTGGCTGCGTACGAGCAGACAGCTCAGTGGCCACGCGCCTGCGAGCTGCTCCGAGGCACCGCAAAACCCAGCTGCTGCACACAGAAACGGAGTCCAATCCAGCTTGATCGCTTAGAATATAAGTTCAACAAAACTACGATGGTGAGCTTTCAATGGCGTGAAGTGAAGCACTCGGTCCAGCTCGGGATCCAGGTCGTGCAGCAGTTTTGCCGGCCACGACCCCTTATTCATAAAAATGGATTGACATGATGTCTCGACAGGGTGCAGACCAATCGTCGACCGCATCTCTTACAACACTGTTGCCCGCCTGCAAATGTTTCATGTCCATGCGAGCAGGGCTGAAAGGCAGAGAGCCAGCCTAGTGGAACGGGTTTTAGAGTGTTCCGGCTGAATCGGTCTAGATGCGGCATACAGTTGGAACTGTTTTCGCAGGCTGATGTTGTGCGCCTGTGCCTTTCGCTCATGGTGAGAGTAAGTGACGCACCAGGCAGAGACAGACATGGAAACACTACAGCGCCGCTACGATCAACGTACTTAAGAATTACTGTGAACGCGAGGCAGGCGCTGCAGGCACGCATGCCGCTTCCGGTGTGCCCATTTTCGACATGAAGTTTCATGTCTTACAGTCCTGTAGGGCACCTCGGCGTGGAAACAAGCGTCCAACCATTGCAAGATGTTAGGCGCGATTCGACATCGTGCCCTCGCCACGGTGCTGTGCACATTTTGCAGGTTTGCATTCTCTTCCGGATGCAGTCCCAAAAGTTTCTGCCTCTCAAAAGCTTGCTCCGGCAGTCTTTTTGCGACTCGTGCTCTCTTCCCTCTTGGTACTGATTTTGGACTCATCCGACCCGAGCCGTCCCAACGACAAAACCCAGGTTCTGAGCTGCTTGGAGAAGGTGCTCTGGCTGCTATGGGGAGAGAGACTCCAGCAGAGTTTGAAAGGCTGCGACTTTCCAAGCTTCGTCGTTGGTCACAAATGGTGGTTTCCGAAAATAGGGGACCCATATATAGTACTTTAAATAGTAGGATCCTTATAAGGACCCCAGAGTAAGGTACCCCTGAGTTTCGGAAACTCCCAAATCATCTTCTGTCAGCTTCTGGTCCACGGTGAAATGTGTAAAAAAGGCGACATGAGGCGACGCATGGAAGCCCGAACGGTCCGAACTGTTCTTTGCACGGCCACCAGAGTGCTTGTCAAAATTATGGTCCCTTTTTGGGTCCTTATTATAATACAGCACCTAATATTTAGGGTACCCCAAAAGGGACCATAATTTTGACAACTACCCACCAGGCACGGCAGTGGCTTTTGGCGCTCTCTTGCATCGACATCTTCGCAATTCAGCGCCTCGCTGCGGACGCCGTGCCATGGTAGCAGAGAGCTGGGGTCTTTGCGAGTGGCCTCCAGAAACAGTTCAGCCTCCAGGATTGAATTGGACGAATCTCAGGACATCGGCACCTAAAGAACCCTCTTGTGATGTGTTGGGTGTGGAGAGCCATTGTGACTTGACTCTCGCACTCCGTTAGTCTTGGTCACCTAGGTCACCTGCAATTCGGCTGCCAGTGCCTGCGCAGCTCGGCTTAGCGAAGGCTCTATCACGGTGCACGGGTGCGAAAAGCATTTTGTGTTTGGGGATATGGGGCTGTACGAACTGAATGTCCAGATCAGGACCGGCACGAGAGCCTTCGCAATAGGACTCTCATTTCTACCTTTAACTTCTTATCCCTTCATAAAGAGGTGAAACCGCGGCGCCAAATCTATACTGCAAAGGTAAGTCAGGAATTTGCGCATGCTCTTTCACAATCAAAACCGCTTGAACGAACCCAGATCACACGTATTTTATGATATTCTATTCTCTCGTTGTGGTTATTTCTTTCGTTCCATCTACTTGTTCAAAACTCAGCCCTCCTTGTCACAGTGCGGCTCGTGCTCAAGCTGACGCCCAAGGAAAAGGCAGTGGAGTGGGAGTTTGCACACCAGCTGCTCCTTCATGCTCGCCGTGGCTCCATCGAGACAGATGCTGGGGTCTTTGAAGTTTTTTGTGGAGAACTGCAAGATCTCAAGTCCGAGACTGGAGACAGGAACCCCCGAACCCCTACAAATCCTGGCGCCAAGCGAGATCGAGTCGAGGCCATTGCCTTCAATGCTCTCCTGAGTGCTGTGGAGAAGGCAGGCGATCGGCAGGCCCAGAAGAGTGGAAGAGGGAGCGGAAAGAGGGTCTCACCCAACACGACACATTCTTTGCCTTCTAAGCACAACAGCATCTTCTACCGATTGCGATCGGCTTGGCCTGCAATGCCGCGTGGACTTGCTTCAGAGCCACACGATTCCGTGCTGCAACATCGCCGGCACAGCAATTACATGCCACACTAGTGACTCTCGTAGTATATTCGTGCTTTGAAGCAGGGATCTATTTCGTCTTCATTCTTGGCTGTGCCGGGCTGGCAGTGGCGCTGCTCAACGTCTCTGAAGCTCGGACTGACAAGTTTATGATTCCAGATTCGCATGCATGTTCAAGCTATGCTTTCAGACTTTGGACTAAGCCGCCAGATTAAAAGATGAAGCGTGTAGGGAAAATGGGGTCTTTGCCAGTTTTTGCACATTCGACCAGCGCTTCGACTTTTGAAAGCAGCTGCATAGCATGTTCTTCCCGCACAGATGTTTCCTTCGAGGCCACGGCTGCAGGCAGTCGAAGAGAAGATAAATCGCAGCTGCCGTGCAACGTAGGCTACAAACCGTTTGTTGACGGTGTTGCTGCTTTGCTATTCGTTGCCACTCGCCCCAGAAATTGAAAGGCTGTACAGGTCTCAGCTTGTAGCTGGGACAGCTAGGACAGACAAGTGAGTGGATGTTGATCCGTGTGGGAACAATGAGGCTGGCAGATCTGCGACATGATGCCTTGCGCGGGAGCGTGCCCTGGAGAATGTGGCAAGCTGAAATGATTTGAAGCCTTTCATTGTAAAGGGTTTCCACTGCAAGACAGCTGCATCTTGTGAACTCAACTCCGCCTCCATGAGAACCAGAGTCGAACGCGAGGCCGTCACATATGGATCCATTATGCTCACGTGCGGAAGAAGCCTGCATCTGGGCTGGGACAAGCTACGAAATTCGGATGAATGGCGGACTTCCACTCTTCTCCGTTCAACCACGCAGTCCTCTGTTTAGCTATGAGACTACGCAAGCAAGCCTTCTCCCGACATGGACGTCTGCCGGACAACGGTTGCAGTAGCAAGTGGACCTAGCTAGCGTTTTGTCTCGCAGCGTAGAGACCGTCTCGGAAAGGATCATGTCACACATGCATCTCAGGCAGTGGCAGCAGGCACAATCGTTGCTCCAACGCATGCAACTGCAACCGGCAGATGTGATGACATGCAATGCTTTGACACTTAGCCTTAAGGCGTGTCTTGACATCAGTTCCAATTTGTAGTTCGGTTTTGTCGATTCCCACAGCACTCTAAACACAACCAAGTGCGAGCTGGCTCGACGCAAGGATGGGAACCTACCAGAAGTCTGCAGAGTGGCGCCAGACGTTGGCTTTCTTCACCTCCCTGCGAGATGCTGACTGCATGATGGACGCTCTCGGGCTCAGAGATGGATGTTGAGCACATATTTGAGCATTCTTGCTTGGACTTGCCGTGTTGTGGCGGCATGGGCTTGAACATGAACAGTTTGCACGGTTTGTGCGGGCTCAAATTCTGATAGCCACGGGGCTCAATTGAAGGTTTAGGTTTTCGAGTTGGCTGTCCTTGTGCGGTCTCGGCTGTGTTTGCGCGGCTTTTCTGAGGCATGGAGCTTCTCCACCGCCAGTGCGGCATGTGAGGCGTCGGGGCATCTGAGAGTCGCAGATATTTGGGGAGAGAACCCAAAAAGACTCGGAGGCGGGTGGCTGCTTGGGCACCCAGCTCGACATCCTGGAGGAAGCTGAGGCCCGGCCTGCCACACAGGGCCTGTCTTGGCTTCAGCGAGGGACGTGCTAGGTCGGTGCCCGCTTTCAAGCTTTCAAATCTCCCGGAAGAGTGAGTCTCTCATCCGGCGGTGACATTCCAACCTGCCGCCGCTAGGGAAGTAAAGCGTTTTGCAAAATGCCCCGTGTATGCATGGCGCGAGAGGTAAACGGCTTTTCAGTTCTGAATTGCTGCAGCTTCAGAGCACCATCCCGAGGCGACGGCAGTTGGCTGCTTCGATCCGCTTGGAGGAGAAAAAAGCAGCCACCTCCATTTTTCCTGAATACAGGAGACGGCAGCAATCAGTGTAAACATTCGCGCCACCTGGCCCCACCCTCAACTTGCTGCCAACAGGCATGTACAATTCTACAGGCTTCTGCACGTGTCAGCAGCAAATGGGCTAGAATCAAATGCTGGTTGAAAGCAGCACAGCAGTTGTTGGGAACTTGCATGGCACCTCAGACGATCGCGGGGAAGCGAATCTGCAAGAAAGTCTACCCAGCATGTGCGCAGACTCGTCTCCAGATTCGAGCCCTTCCTTCGTTACCTGCAAGAGCCAGCATCGTGGGCTACCAAGGCAAGGACAAGGCGAAAGACAAAGACCGGGACAAGGACTGGAAAACCCGTTGCGCTCGCGTGTCCTGTGTGTACCTCCTGATATTCGGCAGTGCAAGCCTTTGCTTGAGGATAGGTTGCAACAATGTCAATGTCTTGGTTCCGTTCATGTGAGTGCAGGTGGCTTTGTTTTAGTTACTCTGGCTGCAGCCAGGACCGGGACAGAGATCGCGACCGAGATCGAGACAAGGTTCCAGACCACACCTATGGGTTCTCAAGCGTGCAGATGATGTTATAGCTCTTGAAGCCGGTTTCACTAGCCTCCGATATACTTCTCGTGGTACATGCCGGAGTCTGCCTGCCGCGTAGGCACTAGTCACCACAGTGCCAGATCCTACAAGACCTGATCTGTCAATCCGAAGTTTTGTAGCAGCCTCACGCATCCTAGGAGTCGCAGGAGGCCAGCTCTTCAGTCCTCGAGTCATGTGTTCGAGTGCGGGTGTCCAACAGAGGTGTACAACCCTTCTCCCCCTAGGTCTACGCAAAGCCCTCCGCACGACAGTGCCGCCAGGACAGAGATCGAGATAAAAAAGATCGAAAAGAGAAGGCTCGGATATCGTGACATCTCAGCAACGGCTGTCACCTTTCCATCAGTACTGCTTACTCCTGATTCTGAGGGAAAGTTGGGATCTGCAACAACTACAGACTCAACCTGTCGAGGGGGCTCCGCTGTGACGTGTGCTTAGCGGCACGAGGAGCTTGAACGCTTCGGAAAGCTAGCATTGAGTCTGAACTATGTTAGGGCTGTGAGGGCCGTCGCAACCCTATCTGAGTACATGCTGCACACTCTCGGCAAGGCAACGTTCTGCTTGGGTTTTTACCCTCCAGTCGATGCATCGCATCACAGAACTAAGTCTCCCAGTCTCCCAGACAAGTGGCATCAGTGGCATCGCTTCACCCAAAGGTTCTACGAGCCCTTGCCTTTCTGACACCGAGTCACTTTGTTTCCTTTTTGTCTCCGTCTACGTGACGTTGTGCAGTTGTGTCTGCGTATCTTTTTGCCGGTCTACATCTCTGGAGCTGCCCGAAACATAAGGAGAGTTTTCTAAATTAGGGTCCCTTTGTGGATCCCCAATATATAGTACGGCACCCTTATAAAAAGGACCCTAAAAGGGACCCTAATTTAGAGAACTACCCATAAGGGGGCTAAAGCCAGGGGATGAAAGCCTGTACAGGAGAAGGAGCGTAGCCGCGACCGCGGAGACAAGGTGCTGCAGTCGTGCGGAAGTGTGTGGAGTGACTCGCCCTAGCATCGGGTGCGTGGAGGGGCCATGGCTCTTGAGATTCGGAGTTGCACCGGGGTTGGGACAGGCGGGGAGTCGGGGTCTGAAGACAGGACAAGTCTGATCGCTAGGTCAATGCACAAGCTAGTGACTCAGTCTCGTCGCAGGACAAGGACCGCAAGAAGGACAAAGAGAAGAAAGACAAAGACAAGAAGGACGGCGACCTCCGCAACGCTGAGCATGTATCAGGTACCGGGATGGTGTCCTTCATCGTCCGTTCCTGAAGCCCCTGGCATGTTCCCTTTGCCCTTGGCAGGACATGGCCTCAGTCCTCTAACTGTAAACTCTTTCGGACTGAAGTCTCGGGTTCGGGCCACATCGGAAGCATGGCACTCGCTGGGTGATCTCCCGCCCGCATGCCAAATCTCCCAGCCAGCATTGGCCAAGGAATGTTAGGGGCGGCGAGAAGCCCCGATCTTAAGGTGCGCAGGCTTGCACGTGATCGAATGGAACCTGTCGGGTTGACGATCTCGGGAGTGGGTCTCTGGTCACCCCCAAACCGGAGGAGCTTTTGGATCCCGGGCTCAGGGATCCGCTCTCGTGCACTTACCTCGCGTGACCCAGAGAGCGCAATACCCCTTAAATAAGGAATATACCTTAATTTATAGAGGCCTTACTATTATGATTTAAGGTATATTCCTTAATTAAGGGGTATTGGGCTCTCTGTGTTTCTGAATGGGCAGAGGTTATGTAGGGTGCTTGGGCCCTTCGAAGGAGAAGGAGCCAGAAAAGGAGATCGAGAAGGAACCTCAACCGGAAGTGGCCGAGGCAGCGCGGGAGTGAGGCATCCCTGAGCTAGCATCGCTCGGACCATGGCTTCAGTAGATATGAATTCGATCTTCGAAGCCTGCCATGGGCCGTGAGACGCCAGAGCCTCCGAAGCCCAGAACTGAACCGAAGTCAGCAACCTGAAGCACCATAGTAGAGGAGGACCCGAATCTGTAATTTTGGCATGGAAAGCTGCCAAGGCTATCACTTCCTCAGTTTTGTGCAGACAGGTCCCCGAACAGAGGGAGCGCAGCCGCAGCCGCGAATCACGCCTGAGCCCTGGCTTCCTTGCATGTGGCAAGCTTTTCCATGCAGGAAACGGGGAAGAGAAGCTGCTTTGGAAAATTCTGCGTCGGGTGAGACGTTTGATGATATGACCTTGGTGACATCGTTCGCATGCTCCCGTGTCTAGGGTGGACTTTGTGTTGCTTGACGGGAATGTAGCTGCTGACAAAGTTCAAGGTTGCCAGCCTCCAGGCCTTTGTTGCTGTGGTTCTGTTTTATTTCCGCGTCGAGATGCACGGCTCTTCGAAACTTCACAACTCGGGCTTGGTGCGCGGGCAAAGCTTTGCATCGCCGGTGAGCTGCAAATGGGTGAGGAACAGGAAGACTCAGCTCGCGAGTAGACGCCGAGAGTTCCAACATCTTCGCAGTTTTCCAGACGAAATCAATATCGACAGAACCTGACATTTGACTCCCTGCCGGTGCAAAAACACACACACTGGATACTTGCCAGTACTACACGGACCCCCAGGTGACAGCACAGACATGCCGAAGCGGCCGGCCGGCCACCAGGCGGCTGCTTTTCTGGGTCGATTTCGGATTGAGTTGAGTTCTCGTTTCTAGTTGAAGTTGTGGGGTTGCTAAAGCTGACAGAGTCTTCATGAAGCGAAATCTGGCCAGACACTATATTGGTATGCACTTCAGCAACTAACCTGGGTTCATCATGGTGGCTGGGTTAATATTACCCCGAGACGGGATGTTGTTTGATGTGAGGCAGGTGTCTGGTTTCGGGAGGGCATGCCTGCTTGCACGATTCTCTCGTCAAATTGCAGCGAACACAAGAGGTAATTGTGCAGCTGCCGGTCGGCCGCATCGCACCGCTCGCACTGCATAAGCTGTTGTTTGGTTGCTATTGTTGCTTAAGTTCCTTTTGTGATATGGGTTTTGGCCTCCGTTGCTGTCAACAGTCCCAGACTCCTCTTGCATTGGGAACTTGTGCACCGAGCACGTTGTGTTCCATCGTAGGGACGGAGCGCACTGGGCCGGGTATGTCGCTGGTGCGACGAATGCGAAACGAGAGAGCTGCTCGGAGTCTCTTTTTGAGCGTTCCCTCGCCGATGGTGATGCAGTTGCAGCAGTTGTAGTTGTGCTAGTTGTTGTGGTTGTTTATAGTTGTAGATGCAGTTGCAGCAGCAGTTGTTGTTGTTGTTGCTGCTGCTGTTGTTGTTGTTGTTGTGGTCGTCGTTGTCGTCGTCGTCGTTGAAGAAGTCACTATCCAGAGCTGCATCATTCCCCGTGGGAGCCATGCAGGCATCCCCAAGTCCAGAACGGCTTGCGTGTGAGCCTTGGTGGGGTTGGGCTGCGATATGTTGAGAGCCAGGCTTGATGGGGACCTTGAAATTCACTCGGAAAGTTTAGAGTGGAAAAGCAAGAGGGTCGAAGAGGGACCCCACAGCCTCGCCGCAGTGCACCCAGCCTGCGGCCCTGAGGGACAACAGCGAGAACGGGGCAAGGATTGCGCCACCACAGGCCGGCAAACTGGCAAACTGATAAGCATTCGGATCTCCCCGATGTGCGGCAGGATTTCAGAGGTCAGGCAGGTGTATCTCACGAGTAACGAGGCTGGACAGGCACTGTCCGAAACTGTGCCCTGGTGGTAGCGCACAATTAGCGAGGAGCAAGTCAGGCCTGAGGACTTGGAGACCCTGACGACATGCCGGGCCACGGCCTTCACCACGACAAGCCTTTTGAAAGAATTTAGGATCCGGAAGCTGATGCGCATCTGGTCGGCACTTCTGGACAGCAGGGGTAGGTCTTTGCGTCTCCTTGTGTTGGGGTTGGTTCTCACTACAAGCTTCCTTGCGACCAAGCATACCGCCCGATTTCCCGAAGCCGAAACTGCAGAGCAAGCTTGGCACCTTAGCAATTTCCATCCCGAAGAGCACCTAATGCAGGACGAGGATGAGGTCCATGACGGCATCGCTTGCTCCGGGCCCTTTGGACGCAAGAGCGTCCACTTGATGCAGTCAACAGAACTTGCGTGTTGCTTGGAGTTCGGGGGTTCGGACTGAAGCGAGCTGCCAGAAATAGGTCGGAGCTCCCCCAAACCCAAGAACGCTTGAAGAGCCAAGCCTGAGCCCCTCCGCGACCCGGCGATGAGCATGGCCTCCTCACAACGCTGGACCCTCGCAACTCCGAACAAGGTGCCACGTGACTCCGATCCGCGGCGATCGCTTCAAATGTGGGGCACCCGAGAAAATTAAAAGGTCGAGCCCAAAAGCAGCATTCTGGACAGCACTGCGCTGCCGAGGCCCGATTTACCTTTGAATACCTCTTAGGGTTTTGGGTTTTGGCCAACCTGGACCTTGATGAACTGTTTCACAACACTGGAGCTTCATTGCGTGGCCGAAGCCGAAGCTTGTGCAAACACCTCTCGAAGATCAGCCTGGGATGTACCCTTCCAAGGTCAAACTTGCGAGTCCTTCGACCTTTGCGGCTAGCTCAGTAAGTCGTGTTTTCGCTCGGTACTTCAACTCAGTTCCGAAAGTCCTACAGAGCTTCAGCTGAAGTCAAAAATGCAAACAGACCTCCTCAAGCTAGGCGAGAACTGCTACGAGCGGAAGGGGCAGGCCGGGTACTTAGGGAGCTTGTCCGAAGAACTACTGCAGCTGTCGCCAGTCAAAGCTGACTGCAGGATTTCGCCGAGTTTAGACTGGGGGAGAAGCCGTCGAGCCTGAAATTAAAAGCCAGCCCGAAGCCCGTTGCAGATCCACCCCGGTGGTCACCGCTTCTTCAAGAAGCGGTTTGTCCCTGGCGAGGCGGAACCGGTGGCCCGTTGTCGGCTTGATGACATCACGGGTCAACATTTCCTAAAGTTCCAACAACAGACACCGTGAAAACGGTGCCTCAAACTTACTCGTGTCTTCTCCAAGCACTTGGAAGCGTCCGATGCTCTCCGAAAGACGTCCGATGTTCATTCTCCAAGCCTTATGACAGGCCAAGACTGTGGCGCCCAAAGCGGCCCCAGCATCAGCTACGCCGGCAGCAGAGGCACTTGGTGGGGCTGGTGGGAGTCAGATGGTTCATACGAGGATATCGAGGAAACTTTCCAAAGCGCTTTATAAAGTCACGTTGGCTGAGGCCTGGTTATGCCTGATTTTCGAAGACCACACAGTATGATGTCTTGTTCTTGTATGGGGAGGGAGGAAGGAGGTATGTACGTATCTTTGTGTGTGCGCGTAATGGATGCGTGAAGACATGCATGGAAGTATGTATGCATGCATGTATGTACGTACGTATGTATGTATGTATGTCTTTTCTCCTGCGAAGGTCACACAAACTACCCTAAAGTATCTTGCAGAGCTCACTCAATTTATTCAGGCGAAGTAACCCTGAAAGTTCACAGCTGCGTCCTTTTTCTGCGCAGCACGCACACAGTGCCAGATCTTGGGCAATGTGGGAACATGACAAAAGTCAGCTCTCAGTCTGGGACATGTAATTTTTTGGAGCCTTAATGATTACCAATAATGTTTTTGGTGCCTCCGTATTATAAGTATAGTATAATAACCCTATTCTAATTATTAAGGCCCTTATGTTATTTCAACAGGCCTCCTTGAGCTGAAAGTATTGCTTTGTACTCATGGAAATAAATGAATATACAGCGGATGACTGGTACTACTACTACTGCTGCTACTACTACTACTACTACTGCTGCTGCTGCTGCTGCTGCTGCTGCTACTACTACTACTACTACTACTACTGCTACTACTACTACTAATACTACTACTACTATTACCACCATCACTACCAACAAAAACCAACAACAGCAACCGGAGGGGGAGGAAGGGTCCGGTGAAGGTGTAGAAGGGCAAATGCTCGACGGGAGAATCCAATGGGAGGCGGTGAGATGGCTGATGGATAAGCCCAAGTGAATACATGGAGGCGATGGAACCTTTAGCTTGGGGGAGGGGGAGGGTTGGCCGGGGCAGGTGGGAAAGCCAAACCTGCCCAAATTGTTCGACTCGGCGGGTCAGGGGTGTCCGTCACGATTTCGCGTGTGTCTCCAGCTGCAATCTGGATACTTGTGCAGGGGGTAGGGAGCACTATCGAGTCAAGCTGTCATCTTCATTGCCACCACCACCAAACTCTCGAAAGGGAGTTTGAGGGGATGGATTCTATGCTCCGCAACCCCGGCGGATCACAGGCAAGTGCACTGGAGCCGTCCACAGTTCAACTAGGTGCTCTCGCCACTCCTGGGCATCAGGGCACAACTTGATTTGCGAGGTTTCTGAAGCTGAGGAAGGCTTGAAACTCAAACTGGAAGGACTGGTTTTGGGCCAGGGATGAGCAAAACTCTCCTACGGTCGAAAGTTTGGTAAAGATAGAGGACCCTCGGTTGGGTTGTGTTTGCACAAGTTTGGCAAGCCAGCCTCTTGAGCGTGCGCAAAATCTGTGCTGTGCTAACAGAGTATGATCGGTCATTGTCTTGGTCTGAGTCCGTCAATTTGCTCGTTCCTCGGTAGACGGGATTTCTTGATGGCTCCTTCTTCGCAACAGGTGCTGACTCCACCACAAATGCCCAACATGGTCCAGATGCCCAACATGGCGCAGATGCCCAATGCGGCGCAGATGCCCAACATGGCGCAAATGCCCAACATGGGCCAGATGCCCAACATGCAGCAGATGCAGCAGATGATGCCTGGAGCTCGGTTGCGCTGGCGCCTGATAGAAATACTTGCATGTTACATAGTCTCCTGTTGCAGGGCGTCACCAAATGACCCCCAAACTGAGACATGCATACAAGCAGACGCACCCACACGTAAGTGCATGCAGACATTGGCACTGTGGCAACTGCGCTATCTTGAGACCACTGAGTTGCCAAGACGGGCCACTGGCTTAAAGCTTCAGTTCTTAAGCGATACTCTTAGAGTGCATAGAGAGTCAGCCCGGAGCCCCCGGTTCAACCCGACAGCCGCACACGCACACCGCTGACATGTAAACACTCGAGAGCCTCTGCACTCAGGGTTACCTGTGCAGGGTCTTGGGCCTGAATGTGTCAGGATCTTCGGAGGAAATGTTCCAGGTATCCAAACCTTGATGCGACAACGGCGGAAAGCCCTCCAACAGTCCAGAGATGAAGAGCTGCAAGAGCGAGCTTGCCTTCAAAGAGAGACCGCCCAGAGACTCCAATATCCCTTA